TTCTAATCCATTCTACTCTCCTCTTCCATTTTATGGGGTGAGTTTATCCTATTCACATTCACAATTATGACTGCTGAATGAGTTATTTCCTTCAATACTATTCCATCATACTTACTCTTCTCTTTTAAATCTGTTTCCCTTTGACCACTGTATCTTTTATTCCACCCTCCCCCCCTTCCATATTTTTCTCTTCTACACAAACATATATTGACACCTGTGCTTCATCTTTGTACTTTTTGTCGGTTCCTTACAAAAATTCGATACCCTCTTATCACTTGTTTGAAATCTAACTCCTCCCACTTTTCCCCCAGAGACCATTATGTTAAGGATAAAGAAGCATGATATCATCCTGGAAAGCAGTTTTTTCTTTAGAGGTGGAAAGATGATGTCATTAAAGGACAGAAGAAAAATTGCAATGAAGGTCCAGTACAGGTGCAGTGAAGATACATCAGCAGTCACTTTAGCATTTCATTTTCTTAAGACCAAAAAATTTTAGCACTCTAGATCAAGTGTCAAACACTTCTGTAGATTCCCCACTACAACAATCCCCAAATGCATCTGAACCAGATTAAAATGTAGTTGGTAAATATTTAATTAAATAAAATGTAAAAGAACATAAGATATATTAATATGTGGTTTCCTAAGTCAATATGTGGCCACAGGGATCCCTATGTACAATTCAGTGGCCTCTGTTTCTATTTGAGTTTGACAACACTGCTCTAGTACTTTAAAAGCAAAGATGAAAATTTGAGCTAAAAAATGATGGGCTAATAGTACTAACTTAAGCTTTGACACCTAATTTTTTAAAAAAGTATACATTCAAATCGGCCATTGCTGAGAATTATTCCATTACTAGCATTTCTAATTAAGTTTGTAGCAGGACTGACAGTATTATCCTAATACCCACAAGGTTTATAATTTTTAAAAAAGGACAACGTATCATAAATTAGAAGGGGAACTAAAATATTAGCTCCTAACAAATGACAATGACCTCATGCTGTACTCGGCCACAAGATTTTTCCAAAAGCTTAGTAAGTATATTTTTTGCCAGATATCAAAAACACTACATTTTAATTGCAAATAATTACTACTGTAGTCCTCTGATGAACCTGTAATTTGACCTAAATAACATCAGACTGCAATTATGCCCTTCTATAAGTTCACTCCAAAAGATCCCACCCAACATACGGGGAGAAGTCCTCATTTTCTCTTGAGTTGATATCCCCTAGTTGTCCTTTACCACACAAGAAGCCTATTATCTTTTTTTTTTTTATATTTCTTCGACTTGTTTTACTCTGGTTCTTGTCCTTAGTTCTTAAATGTTATTAAATGTTGCGGCCTGCTCATATCTACCTCAGCCCCGCCCCCCTGCCTTCATAGTTGACTATGACTAAGAGATCATTAATGGTATGAAACTCACAGCCATACAAATACCACTGGTTTTTAAAAAATGGGTTTTTTATTTCTGGGAGAAGTTTCAAATAATTAAATAAGTGCTGCAATTTCTCATAAGCAATTCAACCCACTTTTCTCCTCCTTCAGTTTTAATATTGTCTTTTTTCAGTCTCCAAGATAAGTACACATTTTCAAATGAGTTCTATAGGTTGCCCATTTCACTGCAAGTCATATTCTGCATAATACATCATTTTTATGGATGGGTTAGCTGAACCATTTTAAATGATTATGGACCTCATTACACAGGAAGTTTTGCAACATTCTAGCATAATGTCACCCACAAACAGGAAGTGGAAAACTTCACCATCTTTAGGGGAATCATTCTTGTACCTGGACTCTCTGTTTTATCTCTTCCATAAGAACTTTGGCAAGCATGTCTTCCTGTTTTATGCCTCTGATAAGTGAGTTAAACAACAATTTTTATAATGCTGTATCTTTCAATAAATCTTGCATGGTTTTAATGACTGCAGAGAAGACACCTTTTGGGAAGAAAGCTTTCAAGGTGTTCTGCTTTACTGAATCAAAAGCTTCTTTTTGTAAATAAAAACAAGCAAAATAGGATCTTGTTTAATGGTAAAAATTTCGTCTGTTATTATTAATAATATATATATTATAGCCTTCCCTACTAATACCCTCATCAAGAATGCCCTCACTGTGTGTATCATTCCTATTGTTCAGTATTCACTATGTCTAGATCACAGATGGGGAACCTGAAGCCTCCAGGCCACATATGGCCTCCTAGATCCTTGGGTGCAGCCTTTTGACTGAGTCCAAGTTTTACAGAACAAATCCTTTTATTGAGGGGCCTCGAGGCCACAGGTTCCCTAACCCTGGTCTAGAGCCTACTGATTAACTCCCCGCCAAAAATATTCATGATATATATGAGGCTTTTGTGTGATCTTTAAGTATTTGGCCTCCTTCACTACTTATCTCTACATCCCTATTTCCAAACATTTTTTGATGTCTCCACCGATACAACTGAAGTTACTGGATATCATCAAATATGTTGATATCAACAGATATTGGTACAAAGGTTAAAAATATTTTCATGCTGGTCTTTTCTTACAAATACTTATCAAGACCGCTGTGACTTGATGCTATCATATATGTCTCTTTCCCATCTCTTTAGAAGACAGTCTTTGTTTTGGGAGCAGGGAAAGGAGAAGAACTGGGTACTGGAAAATGGTCAATATGCCAAAACAAAATGTATTAATAAAGAACAAAATAAGTGAAGCCTCATACTTTGGACCAATAAACGAAAACAGGTTAAGACATTCCATGTTTTATATAATGTTCAGTAGATCCTTTAAAGACATACTGCCTTTTAAATTACTTTTACATTTTGACAGAATGCTGAAAAATGACAGTATACAAAGTACTTTCAGAAATGACTACTAATGACTAATATACGTTCTATATGAAATTAATTTTTCTATGTTGTCACCTGATTTTGATCCTCCAATTGCCTATCTAAAAATGTTGTATATTTTTTAAGGAATGCAATACCAAATAACCACCAACATTGCAAATGTTGTATGAAGTCTAGTATTTATGAATTCTAAAAGTAATTTTGTAGGAATTTTTTAAACCCAAGAGTCATAGAATATCAAGAAGCACAAAACAAGGCTGATAATCAATAAATTCCAGTGGCTTTCACTAATATCTCTTGAACAAAATACAAACTCAACACCTGAAATTCTTTACAACCTTGCTCAAATTTACCTTTCCAGCCTTATTATACATTTCTCTTCTTCACACACTTCAGTCTGACCAAATTAGCCTCTTTGCTATTCCTTACTTAACATTATCTCACATTTCCAATCTTTGCACAGGCTACCTATAATACCTCACTGCTTTAGAATCCCTGGTTTCCTCTTACACGAAGACATTCCTAATCATCTGCAGCTGATAGTGTTCTTCCCATCCATTACCTTGTATTCATGTGATTTATATTAAATGCACACATGTTGTTTCCCCTATAGATGCTAGCTCCCTGGGCTAGAGATTGTTCCACTTTAGTTTGTGTATCTCTAGCACCTAACATAACACCTGGTATATAGGCATTTAAGAAATGCTAACTGACTCATTTTGGAAAACCTACATTTTAAGTACAATCCCAAGATTTTTCTTACCAAAAATTAATCTGGAAACTCCAAAGGTATACAGAATCATAGATTTAGATACACAAGGGGCCTTTAGAGGGAACCTAGCCCAATCCCCTCATTTTGCAGGTAAGAAAGCTGAGACCTAGTCAGGGTAAGTTACTTGGCCAAGGGCACACAAGGAGTAGGTGGCAAAGGCCATACTTGAACTCAGGTCTTCTGACTCCAACTTCAGCATTCTTCACCTTGTTCTACTCTGTCTCCCACTTACTGAACTAAATTACACACAATTACACACATATAGCAGGAAAGCAAACAAAACAAATGCAACTAGTTTTTTCATCACATTTGAACAATAATCATCTTTTTTCAAAACATTTCTTTGATACAATATCTATTTATTCTCTTTTCAACATTAACAAGGTTAGCAGTTATTTTAAAACGTAAGGTTTCTTCAATCTTAGAACACAAGTAGTAAAGCACAGGCTGTGTAGTGCTTTTTTTTTTTTTTAAATGAGATGGTTTTATTTTTTTTACTTTTTTTTTGGCAAGGCAATTGAGGTTAAGTGACTTGCCTAAGCTCACACAGCTAGTAAGTGTCAAGTATCTGGTCTGAGACCGAATTTGAACTCAGATCCTTCTGACTCCAGGGCTGGTGCTCTATCTACTGTGTCACATAGCTGCCCCTGTGTAATACTTTCTAAGGGGTTCTGACTAGCTGCGGGATCAAAAAATTGCTTTTTACACAGATATTTATTTGTGATTGACTTTGTATTTCTTCTATATTAAGACATATATACTTTAAAACCTACCAGAACTTGATACATGAATGCTTAGAGAAACAGTAACCTCTAACCCCTGGTTTCAGCTTATGGGACAGTCTACATATAGAAAGTTCGAATCCAAACTTATCACCACTGTACTTTTAGTGATGGAGTTTTTACACAAGTGAAAAGCACCATTCTCTCCTCCACCAGCAATGGTGGCTGGCATGGAATGCAACAGGCACCAGCAGAGGTGTAAGAAAAAAGTTAAGTCATGCTTACCACAAAAACCTCAAATAGTTCTATGAATAATATGAAAGATCATTTAAGAATGGATGGCTTGTTTTGTCAAAGGTGAAATTAAATAAAGTAATCCAATCCACTGGAGTTCCAAAATTAATCTACAAAAATTTAAGTTGATATTTCAAAAAACAAACAAAAATTCCAGTATTCCTCTAACAAAATTAATTTCTCTCTTGTCCAGAAAAAAGTCAAGAATGTGTAAAGAAGAAAAACCTTGGGGAAAATGTCTTTTTCGTATGTCTTAAAATTATTTTAAAGACTACCACAAAGAAATGAAATTATCCTGACATTTCAAAAATTTCTACTATTATAATAAAGGACTTTTTTTAAATCACAAAAAAACTTATTTTCTATTTCTTCTGGATGAAAGTTTTACCTTAGGATCTGTGAAGAAGTCCTGCTCTGTGTCTTGTGCTCATTTGAGGGCAACTGAGACTGTAACCCAGAAGACTGACACGAATATGCATGCTGCCGAGTTCCCACATGCTGAAGTCGAGGAGGTAGTGTTGATGGGGTTTTTATTGGCTTATTTGAATTCTTTGGCCCTCTGCAATCTATATCTGTGATAAAAATCCAAAAGAAATGTACAAGTAACCAGCAGGAAACTCATGGCAAATTGAAAGAAGAGAAGAGAGAGGAGGGGAGGGAGGAAGAAAGGGGAAGAGGCAAGGGGAGATTCTTACCAGGCTGAAAATGCTGTCCACTGGTAGAAGGTTTTTTCATCTTCTTTCCTGAAGACACCATGTTCCAACCTTCTGTAGAAGATGCCTGTTGAAGAGGTTTGAGGCTCTTCAGTGAGGAAGAACGTCTTAGAGGAACAAAGAGAATGAAAAAGATATTATCTAGGGTTCTAGGCTATTTCTAGTTGGCATTTTTAACGAGCAATGTCTTCACATTTTATTTTCAGCTTATTACAGAAAAAAACATGCAACTTGAGTAATCTGCTGGGTGTCCAGGGGTGTTTTAAAGCTAGAAAACTAGTACTTAATTTTAAATAATTTGTACCAGTTCAGATGTACTTAAATAAAATTAGTTTCTATAACAAATAAAATGTTTCATAATGAATTATATGAAAAATTTTTAAATTGAAATAACTAGATAGCCACATTAACAAGAAGTTAATAGCACATTTGTGAGCTTAACTGCACTGAAGAGTCAAGTTGAAAAGCTGGCAATCAAAAAAATTTTTTTTTAAAAAACAGCTAACGTAGACCACAAATTGTGACAAAACATGAATAAGTAATCTATAAATTACCGACTACTAAGTTACATTAAAGTTCTCCCTTTTTTCAAGTTTAGCAGAGAACCTGCCCATGAAAATTAGTCACAATCTCTTCTGTCTGTAGCCTTAACAAGATATAGTTGTTGTACAGTCATTTTTCAATCATCTGTCTGACTCTTCGTGAGCCCATTGGGGGTTTTCTTGGCACAGATACTGGAGTGGTTTGCCATTTCCTTCTCCAGTTCATTTTACAGATGAAGAAACTGAGGCAAACAGGATTAAGTGATTTGCCCAGGGTCACACAGCTAGTAAGTGTCTAAGGCCATTACTGAACTCAGAATTATGAGTCTTCTGACTCCAGGCCAGGCACTCTCTGCCCTCTAAATTGAATAGGGTTAGGTCATTAGATCTATGATTTCACTGGTCTAAGGAACTCCAAGATGAGGAAACTGCTTCTAACAATACAGACCTGTACCTTCTCTGCAACTCAAAGTCCTACAGAGTCGCCTGGGACACTGAGAAGTTAAGTGACTTGCCCAGGGTCAACACAATCACTATGTCAGAGGTTCAGGGACTGTCATGGATTTGAGGCCAGCTCTCTCCATCACCTACTCCACAGTGCTTCTTGATAAATGCATATTGGATAGAATATGGGAAGGTAGCAGCAGTAGACAGGTATTTCCCATTTATAGGGCCCTCCTATTAAATATGAATCCAAATCAATGAGTCTGGCTTACTTTCCCCACACTGAACAGGTTAGGTGTTTTAACTGAACACCTCAGCTTCAATGTTGGGTAGACTTATTATTTTACATAAGAAAAATTTTAAGGTTTTACAAATTGCAATCTTCATAACATCTCTGAAAACTTATAACTGATACGCCCATTTCATAGATGAAAAAACCGAGGTTCAGAAAGGTTAACCCAGAGCACATTCAGCAATACTAAAAAATGCAAGGGCAATATTCAAACCCATGTCTTTCCTGACTCAAAGTCCATGATTCTTTCCATTATACCATGCCAAATTCACTCTCTGGAAAAAAAGAAGCAATCTACAGCTCATGTTGCAAAGAACCAGAGCTGTAGGACAGGAAAAGTCCCCCAAAACTAGAGCAACTAAAATTTCATACTATGGACAAAAATTTGCAGATAATGCAAATTTTTTCAAATAGCACCTTTATACAACAAAATATACAAAACATACAGATATAGTTATAATTTCATATGTAAAAATAAAAACATTTATGGTACTGTAAAGTTTGTAAAATATTTACATTAGATTATCTCATTTGATCCTCACGTTAGCCCATTTTACAAATAAACAAAGGCCCAAGGTTTAAGTTACTTGTCAATGGCCACAGAATTAGCAAATGCCAGAGGTTTATCTGAATCGGGAATCTTTCTCAACTCCAAATCCATGTGTTTTGCTAAGTATTAAAATTATGTTGCATATGACGACACGTGTACAAGACACCAGTCAATTTGTAAACGGGCCTGTATACCTACAAATTAACAAAAAGGTCGAGCAAAAAAGCACAAAGAAAAATCAGATTCAAATTTCAAAGATTAACTTTTTAAAACCTGAGTGAATTGAAGACTCATTTGGATATTTAAAAAAATTGAGAATAAATTCTGTTTCTTGAATACTATTCTTTAATCAAATTTAAACTTCTTTGTTTAAGGCCTGAATTGGCCTTAAACAGTTAGATATACTTATCTCTAAATGATCACTTCAATGAGAAAAATTTGCAAGTGGGCAGACCCATTTGGAAGCACTTAAGACTTACAGAAAAAGCAAGCTGGCACAGAAGATACAGATACATCAATAGATCTATTGATATTTCTATGGCTAAATATGTTTATCTACATATCTGTATCTATTTATAGATATTGATACTGATACATAAAGCTATAAATAGTTTACTACCTATAAATATATGAGACTGTAACTTGCAAAGCAACTGACCATCTACACTGTCTTCACTGGGAGTTCCTTTTACTGATGGTCCCCCTCCCAACCTGCCTTAGTATATGTATATCATGCTAAATATTACACAGAAATTGCTATCATATAAGACCCGAACATACTTCACTCCAAGGTCTTCCACAAACACTGGTCCATTCTCAGAACGTTCTTGAGTATCTGTATTTTGAAACTTCCCATTGTGATCTAAACCCACCTACAGAATAATGAGAAAAAAAGACTCAAAATTCATAATTTCTTTAAGTGGCCTTTAAAAATAGCTTTTTACTTCCTTTTTATAAATGGACACTGGGACTTTTAAATCTAGCTATGAAGAGGAATCAATGTAAACAGGAATAATTCAAATCATCTACTCATTGCTAAAGCCTACAAAGGAAAAGCACTCAATAAATCATAGCTGGCCCACACTACTTTTTTCAAATGAATTAAACAGAAAAGTATCCTTTCCCACTTAGCTTTCAATAATCAATGTATTGGGAATGGAATGTGTCTAAACACAACTTTTAAGAGACTTTAATAACCAAACAGATGATTCTCACATATCTAGTTAATGCAAATCATCCTTGGAAATGTTGATATAAGACTTTGTTAGCCTTAGCTCTTTTGAGCAATGCAATGATTTTAAGACAATTCTAAAAGACTCATGATAGAAAATGCTATCCACATCCAGACAAAGAACCATGGAGACTGAATGCAGATCAAAGCATATTATTTTCTCTTTCTTTTGTTGTTTCTTGTCTTTTCTTCTGATTCTTTTTTCACAACATGACTAATATGGAAATATGTTTAATATGATCATACATGTATAGCCTATATCAGATTGCATGCCATCTTGGGGAGGGGGGAAAATTTAGAACTCAAAAATCTTACAAAAGTGAGTGTTGAAAACTAAAGATTAATTTAAAAAAAGAAATGAAAATGTTGATATAAATATATCTTATTTAAATGACAAATAAAATTCACGGTTAAAACAGTACAATGATTTTTGTAAACTTAAAGATATTATTATGATGGGGAAAAATCTGGCTCTATTATAATTTTTTAACAAGAAAATTATCCTTTTTCACAATCACATAAGCAAGGACTAAACTTTCAATAGCATTTCTTGTAAAGTACCATTAACTAAAAACACCATGTATACATATAGAAACTATGAGCCTAAGAGTTAACGTTGTGAGTCATCTGTCTACCAATCCAGATGGTGAACTGCTCTACAACTTCTAGTCTCAGAGAAAGAGCTACAGGTCTGGGGCACCGAGAGGTGAAAGGACATGTTCATGGTCACACAGCTAGTTTGTGGTAGAGCACCTGAACTAGATCCTTCTCACTCTAAGACTAGCTCTCTATTCATTAAGGCACACCACCGCAAATATAGGATGTTAATTAAATACAAATTGAGAATGTGTGTTAATACAGAAAACATTTAATATATATTTAACTGGCTAATATCTAATGATAACCAAACAGATCATTCTGAGTAACCACACTGTCCCCAGGCTAAGGAGTTTATCTACCATTTTTACTGTAGATTATTAACAAAGTAGTCTGTGCAACCTAATAAAATTTGTTTGTCAGTGCTGAGTAAGAGCTAGGTGCTACAGCTTAGCTAAGAGGAGGAGCAAAGAACTCCACATGGTAGGTAGAATGAAAAGATGACATCCACAAAATGACAGCAAATAACTCCCAAATTAATTTTTTTCCTTCGAGTAAGCAGAATATGCCCTTTCTCCAATTTTCCCCAATTGAAAAAGAAAAATGAAGTCACTGTAATGTTAGCCAAAAATATCTATGTCTCAATCTGTACTGATCCATCACTTCTGTCAAGAGGTGAGTGGTGTATTTCACCACGAATTCTCTGAAATTTGCATTTATCAGATTCCTTAAATCTTCTGTTTAAAAGTTACTTATTTTCACAATGCTGACACTGTATAAATGATTTTGGTTCTGCTCAATTCATTCTGTATTAGTTCACACAAGTCTTTCCAGACTTCTCTTAAATGTCATTTTTTTTACTTACTTTTTACTTAATTGCTTTTATTATGAATTTATAGTGGTACAAACGTAAGATTATAATTTAAGAACACACTTTCACAATTTTGTATCCCCATACATCAGCAAATATTAAATGTTCTAATGCCGATACAGTCTTGTTTCCTAGATAAATTTTAAACCCTTTCATTTTTTTTTTTTTTTTTTTTTTTGGTGAGGCAATTGGAGTTAAGTGACTTGCCCAGGGTCACAGCTACTAAGTGTCAACTGTCTGAGGCAGGATTTGAACTCAGGTCCTACTGACTACAAGGCCAGAGTTCTATCCACTGCACCACCTAGCTGTCCCCACCATTTCTTATGGTACTATTTATATCCTTTCACATACATACACCATGACAGAAAGAACTGCTATAAATATTTGTGTACATATGGTTCCTTTTCCTCTTTCTGTGATCTTTCTGGGGTATAGAACTGTCAGAAATACACACACACACACACACACACACACACACACACACACAATTTAACAGACTTCTGGGCACAGTTCCAGATTGCTTTACAAAACAGAGTGAACAATTCACAGCTACACTAACTGTACAACGTGGCTGTTTTCTCACAGACCCTCTAATATTTGTCATTTTCTTTTCTTGTCAATTTTGCCAATCTGATGGATATGAAGTGGAAACTCATGAGTTGTCTGAATTCGAGTTCTTGTTCTTTTTCTCCCACAAACTTTCTTGGTAGACCTTAGCTGGTAATTCTAATACACAATTCATTAGAAGGAAATATATCACAATAGCAAATTTAAGAAAAAACTTATTAATGATATCAAAAAAACTCAAGCATTATTGAGGAGTATTATGTCTCTGAGGCCGGGTTTGAACTCAGGTCCTCCTGGACTCCAGGGCCAGTGCTCTATCCACCGCACCACCTAGCTGCCCCGAACATTTTTTTAAGGGACAGAACAGGAGGATGAGATTTTATGTACTAGGCAATAGCAACACAAATTTTCTCATTTTATAAACTTGCATTCAGTTAATTCATGGAATCTATTCAATACTTTCAAACTATTAATGTGCACATAAAAAGTCCAAATTTCCAAAATCATAATCAAAATCAAGCAATAAGAAAGGTTTCCTGAAACCAATGAATAATCTCAATATAACCCTCCCTCCTAATCACTTACTCTGCATTTATCTCCAGCTGCATACTGCAAGCCAGCAGCAATGGAATAATCACGCTTTTGCTGAGCTGGGGGAAAAAATGAGGAGAACACGAGTAATTTATAATTTTTTCTGCTCAGTATACAAATTAAGACTTAAAAAAAAAAGTCTGTTCTTACATGCAATTTTATGTTCTCACCTTGTTTAGACTGTAGCCAAATTTCATATTCTACATTTCTGTAGACAGTTGGGTTGAGTGACTTAAGGACTTTTCTTGATATAGGAAGGCATGTAGAATTCCCATTGTTCTTCAGATGCTAAACAGATAAAACAATATAAAATACATGCAAACACTGAATTATATTCTCGTAACTTCTAGGTCTAATTCCCAAAATAAAAAACAAAAGTTCAATGGAGGGCAAAACTTAGTAATTTAGGAAACCACATATAAAATTTTACATAGTAAATGGACACTAAACAGAATCAACTTTATGATTAAAGGTCAAAAGATCAAGACACCAATTTTATAAAATTACTATTGTAAAGTTACCACAGAGGAGAAAAATGAAAGGTTAAAAATTCGTATGCTTTTGCAAAACTAACTAAATGAATAAAGTTAAAACCATAAAAAAAATACCTGATTGCCTGACAGAGACTTAAATCCATTCATATCATTAACTGTGGTAGCTTTACCCCTACAAAGAATACAATCATAATTAGGATTTCTGCAAATAAAAGCATTCAAAGTTTCAGAAGTTTGCATTCTATTAAACCCAAAACTTTATTTCCCTACAATAATGAAAATTCCCAGCGTACTTAAGTACATATAAATCTCAGCTCCCCTATCCACAGCAATGTTGCTGGGTGCATCAAGGTGATTTTCTTACTAAGATCTAAAGCTTTCTATGTTCAGATTTTCATTCTCAGGAAATGTTGCTACTCACTCACTAGCAAGAAAATGCAAATGGAATAATTTGGTAAAGGTACCATTAAAAAAAAAAACAACATAAAAAGCAGTTTTTTTTAAAATGTGCAGCTTGTCCCATTATCAATTAAATACCATAATAACAAAAATACCTTTTGAGGAAAAGGAATTACTTCTTTTCTTTATTTCAAACACTATTTGATACATGAAAAATCCCATTACAACCAAAAAATTGGCAGAGTCCCTCCCTTAGGCTTCGCTCAGATAGAATTTGCCTCGGCCCTGAAATTACTACTTTGACTTCATCACTTCATTCATGGGTGAAGCAAAGCAGCTCAGTGGATAAAGTGCTTGACCTGGAGTCAGGAAGACTCGAGTTCAAATTTGGGCTCAGACATTTTCTAGCTGTGTCACCCTCAGCAAGTCACTTCACTCATTTGCCTCAGTTTCCTCATGTATAAAATAGCTATAACCATAGCAATTACCTCCCAGGTTTATTGTAAAGATCAAATGAAAGAAGAATTGTAAAGCATTTAGTATGTGCTGTATATCAGTTATTGTTACTATCATTAGGCAATCATTTATTAAATGTCTGTGGAAGGCTTTGAAAGTTTGGCTTTAATTGAAGTTTCGGCAAAGAATCAGACCTGTGGGAGAAGGGCGGGGAAGAACAGGCCTTTTCCTAGATAAATCCTTCTCTTAGGGTTATCCGTACTGAGCTACCTTCTCCCTCTATCCTACATGAAGTATACCGTTTAACATTTTCCATTTTCACTGAGGAAATGTATTAGGATTGGCCAATATATGACATACAATGTTGTCCCAACTTAAATGCCCCCCAAAAAACTAAGAAAAATAAAAATCTGAGAATTTTAAAACAATAGTTATATGCTAATAGATTAATTATGTAAGAAATGGTGATAGGAGAAAAATTGATGGTACTAAAATTCATTCCCATCTTTTGTTATTATTCACTGGTCTCAGAATTAATTTATCAGTTACCCATCTAATTGAATACAAGTATATGCAATATAACTGTGAAGTAATGAAGTCTCGCCAACAGAAAAATCTACTTTGAAAATAGTGGCCTGAATGAGAGGCAGGATGCCCCATCCCCCAACATCTACTCCAGGAAATCCCAGAAGTTTGCATAATGAAAAAGAGATACAATGAGAAATGCTAAGAGACATCTTCCTCCCTAGAATTGCACTAAAAGTCAGTCATAAAATCAATACAGGAAAGAAGGCACAAAGCCCCAATTCAGGAACTAAAGGTGAAGGAATTAGAAATCAAAGGAAACACCATCTAGGATAAAAAAAATTATTGCAAAACTAAAGAGAAAACAAAATTGCTTTCTGAAGGTGACTTGATGGTTTATTTAGAGAACTTAAGAATCTTATTAGGGTAAGAACTGATGATTCAACAAAAACTGTTGGGAAAACTAGACAGTGTCCTGACAGAAGTTAGGTACAGACTAATATGTCACATCATCCACCAAGATAAGCTAAAATGGGTACATGACAAACAGAGTGATATCATAAAGAAATTAGAGAAGCAAGGAAGAAAATACCTGTCAGAGCTGTGGATAGAGGAAATGTTTAAGACCAAACAAGGAACAGAGGCTCAAACAAAGTAAAAGGGACAATTCTGATCACACAAAATTAAAAAGTTTTGAACAAATAAAACCAATGCAGCTAAAATTAGAAAAGAAAAAAGTCGAATGGGAAAAAAAAATTCCTTGTAGCAAATTTCTCTAAGAAGTCTTATTTTTAAGATATATAAAGAACTGATTCAAAATTATAAACTGAAGAGCTGGCAATTTTCAGATGAAGAAATCCAAGCTTTCAAAAGCCACATTAAAAAAAAAACTCTTAATCTAATTAAAACAAATTTAAACAACTCTAAAGATCGACAAAATGGACCAAAAAAAAAAAAAAACTAACATGCTAGAAGAGCTATGAGAAAACAGGCACATTAATACACTGTCAGTGAAGCTGTGAAATGGTCTAGCCATTGTGGAAAGCAATCTGGAATCGTGCCCAAAAGGCTACTAAAATCTGTGTGTGTATGAATGTGTATGTATATACATATGGATCGGTTAGTGTATGTATCATATGTACACATAATATAAACACCCACCCACCACCACACATATATATGTATGTACATACATATGATATACACATCACCCATCCACAACCACATCCACATTGACCCACTGAAACACTACTAAATCTATACTCCAAAGAGACTGAAGAAAGAGAAAAAGGTCATATATATACCAAAATATTTATAGCCGTTCTCTGTCATGGTATATGAATGTGAGGGGATAGAAATAGTACTGTAAGAAATGATCAAAGGATAGTTTCAGAGAAACCTAGAAAGACTTGTATGAACTAATGCACAGAGAAGTGAACTAAAATGTTTTACATAGTAACATTACCAAAGACAAATAATTTTTAAAAACTTAATCTGATAAATACAAATTCCAGAGGACTCATGACAAAACATACTACCCCACCTTCAGACAACGAGGTGATGGACTCAGAGTACAGATTAAGACATATTTTTTGGACGTGACCAATACATGAATTTGTTTTTTTTTTTTGATTATACATGGGTAGACATCAAAGGTGTCCAGTACTAGTTAAAAAGTAAAAAATCATAATAGACTAATATGATCAGAAAGCAAAGGAAAGTAACAACTCAGTACCCAATAAAAGTAAAAATGCAACCAAGGAAAGAATAAGAAGAACTGCTGGGAAACACAGGAGGAGGCACTGTGCAAAAATGGAATGAGACAATTATCACTCCCCCCCCCACAATTTTTTGTCATCTTTGTTACTATTCAAATGGCTTTGGGACGGCAGACACACTAATACACCACAGCTTGAGCTGTGGATTTTGGTGTACTAAGTTATAGAAATCAACTTAAAATTACTTGAGAATAGTTATTAAACCATAAATACCCTTTAATCCAGCAATCCCCCTCCAGAGCTTACATCCCAAGGACATCAATAACAGTTTGGTTCCACATAAGCAAAAATATTCCTAGTAGCATTTTTTGGAGTAATCTATAAGCTATTCAAATGATGCATGTAGAAAACCCAAATAAATCATGGCAGATGAGTTTCAACAGAATATGGCTGTGCTACAAAGAATGTCAAAGATTCACATGAATTGATGAAGAATCAAAAAAGCAGAAATAAGGGATGCATCTGTACTATATAATGTATACATTAAGTTCACATTGTATTAAATTTGGTGTATGTATTAAATTGACTTTATTGGCAAGTTGACTAAAGAATTTTTTTTATTAGGAAAGAACCAGACACACATCATAGAATACTGGATTTAGAGTTTTAGTATCTGGATTCAAACTTCAATTCATCCACTTACTATCCACATAACCTTAGGTTAAGTCCCTTAATATCTTTTCAGTTCTGATCCATGAAATTAGGGGATTAGAAAAGTTAATCTCTAAGGGTGCTTCCAGCTCTATGATGAAATCTGACCCCATGGACAAGGAGAACATTATACACAACGACAATAGTAATGTAATTGAAGAGGCCACCAGAGAACAACAGAAATCTGATCAAATGCTATGGATTAATACCTGTTTGAAAAGACTAATTTTGGAACATCCTTCCTTTCAGTAGAGGGATGAACTTCAAATGAGGAATGTTGTGGTCACGATACCAGAAAGTTTTGCTTAAAGCTTTTGCTGTTGTATGCAAAGATGCATTATTCTGAAGTGTTTGTGGTGTAAAACATGAAATACATTCTAACTAACTATTAGAAAATAAAAGTAAGGCTCCATCTTAACAGAATCCATGTGCATAGACTAGAAAAAATCCTAATTTTTGATAAGAGTTGTAAATGCTTAGCTCCGTCAGTGGCTGTGTTATTCTCTGCATGCCAGCTTTAAAAAAAAATTAGTATTTATGTACAAAGTGGTTCTTACTTGCAACTCTCTTCCTCCGAGTCTGATATTTCACTGTTAGCAATATTTTCTTCAACTACTTCAACAGAGGGCTCTAGCCCCATCAGGATTTTGCTAACATCAGTATTAAATACCTTCTCATAAAGCAATTCATAAAGGAGAGCTGCAATTGAAAAACAAGAGAAATGAATTTAATGGAATAATGACTTTCATTACTTGGTAAGTACAAAACTGTCCCCAAGAATTAGTGGGAAATGGAGAGGCCCCCAGATGATTGTATCCTGTTAGCATGTACCATAGATCAACCAGGCCTATCACAAGAATTTGAACTTCATTTCTACCTGCCTCTTCCACAATATGCTCACTGCAACTCCTCCACTCAAACCACCCAAATCAGAAACACTGGAAAGTTGAGAATATAGGAGAGCTCCCATGAACCAGACCTTCCTTTTCTAAGGAAAAATATTCATTCAAATTATCTCAGACCTAGCTTTGTGTAAGTTGATTGTAGCATTCCACAATCTGCAATAATAATTTGTTTCATATCTCATCAAAATCAAGATTTTATACCTTGCATACCTCATATTTTTTCATATAAAACACTTCTCTGGTATACCTAAAGCAGTAATACTTACACTGGCACATAGCAGAGCTGTCTTTATACTTTATGGGATAGACAATATCATAATGATTTCCATTTGAAAAACACAGTAATACCTGAAGAGGGGAAAAAACACATTTTGGTAATTATCTGCAATGTTGTGGCCCAACTACTGAACAACTTAAAAATAAAAAGTCAATTACTTGTCTGCAAGGGAAATTCAAAAACTTGTTTGCTTTCAACATTATTACATAAAATTCTTACACACTAAATGGAAAAAGTTCAGAGCAGTAGCTGTTTGAGCACTAGAAATTCTCCATAAAGGCAGTATATAAACTGATTTTCCTTTTGAGCTCTAATATTAAGCATTACATGGATTTATGTAAAGCAAGGCTAGTCAACATAATAAAACCATCCAGTAAAAATGTCACAAAAAAGGAGGTTTTGTTTGGTTTTTTTTTTACAAAGATCAATTTCCCTCTACTTCCTTGAACCCCCCCCAAAAAAACCTTGACTTTAACAAAATGAATGTTGGTTTTAGCACTGTATAACCACAGCTTTTATCTTGTTATATGACTGTAACTTTTATAATCTATAAAAGGTGAACACAATTTTAATGGACAGTACCTATCAAATACTCTTGCATGAAAGGCCTTCTATATTCAAATAACTTTATGACTATTGTAATATTTAGTCCTTACATAAAAACATCCTAATGCATTAAGACAGAGCTACTCTGTAGCAAAATCCTTCTGCACTTAAAATGTTAATACTCTCAATGTAGTTCAATATGGTACTTTGCAAATAAGATGTAAATAACGATATCCTCAAGTTAAAAGGTGGCTGGCTACCTTTTAATAACGTTAGAAACAAAATCTGGAAAGCTTATAACCCATATGTTGCCATCTCTCAAAATAAGCTATAGAAAAAAATGTATGACTTGAAAATTTTAGGCTACAACTGAGCAGCTCCCTTCCTCAATGTCCATAAGAGCATTTAGGAAAAGTTGTACCTTTTCAGGAAAGTTATTTTCAGTTACATGAGAAGGAGCAGCATTTGGTTCCTGATAAATTACAAAATCTTTCCTGAAATTTAAAAAACAAAAATTAGAAAACTTCAGAAAAATCTGTTTTATGGAAAATACTCTAAGGAATCAGGCTTGCTTAAGATATAAATTTACCATGTTTTACAAATACTTGGGGAGAAATAAAAAATAAAACAAAAAAAATACCATGACTCCTTACACATAATACAAAAAGGGAAATAAATTCTTTAAGGTCAAACACATGAAGCCACTGTAAAAAGTGGGAGGTGGTGGCAGAAATTATCCTCTCTACTTAGGACAAGACACAATCAAATTAGAGAATGTTCAGTGCATCTCATTTCTTGTAACATAGACTACTACTTGCTCTCGTTATGTGGGAAGTATGTAGCTGTCTAAGGTTGATGAGGCAATTATTCAGTCTAGAAAATTTTTAATTTGTGCCTTTACAAAAAAATGTTTTAACTTACAATTTTAAAACTGGCAAATTTACATTTGAAAGTAGTTTGTAATTTTAATGACATGAATAAATGTGCTGTACAGCTAATTAATTATAAAATGGTTTTGCTCATTTAACATTTTGAAATATGGTGAAATAATTATTTTCCCTTTATTCTTCACACGACTATTTTTGTATTAAGTGATTTAGTATTTTTTATTAAAATAAAAATCTGTTACCTGTACATAAGAGAAAGGGCACTTATTTCCACTTGTCCAACCCATTCCTGTTTTAGAGAAAGAGTTTATTCGTAAGTTTTTCTATTTTTATCTTACCTTTGGTCAACCCGCCCCCACCTACCTCTCACCCCCAGTTGTGGAATAACGAGAAATCCTTATCTACCAATAATCAAGAGACAAAAGATCTTCACACCCCACCAAACAATCTGACTCAAAAGCATGAGGAGATGACAACACAAGGGTATTAGAGACTGCCCTTTTCCCCTCTCACACATACAACTATACATTCTTAACTTCCCTCTAACATTAGCTTCACACCTACCTAGGCAGGCTGGGAAAGCCACAAGAAAACAGTAACTTCAAAAGCTAATCTAAATGCCCTCCAAATCCCTAAACAAACAATTTAATGCCTCCTCCCATCCACACACTTGCAAAAGCACCAATATATATTAAAAAACAAAACAAAACAAATTTCGTTAAGATAATTATAATGTCAACACCTTGCATTTGTATTTATAAAGTATTTTTGTACCCCATTTGAGGTTTTCTTGGCAGAGATACTAGAGTGGCTTGCTATTTCCTTCTCCAGCTTATTTTACAGATAAGGAACTGAAGTAAACAGGGTTAAGTGACTTGCCCAGAGTCACACATCTAGTAATACCAATACATTTGTACTTGCACAGTACTTTTACATACTTATTAGATCCTCATAATGATGTCAAAAGATAGACAGAATAGATACATTTTCCCATATTTCAAGAATGAAAACTAAGGGGAAAAATAGTATGAAAACTAAGGCTCACAAAGACTAAGTAACTAATCCAACATGCTACAGTGAATAAATGGCAGTGCAGAGACTCAAACCCTGGTCTTCTAGCTCTAAGTCCAATATTATTTCCACTAAATAATTGCAATAGAAAAGACAACGAATGAACTATCCCAAAGACCTCCACTTTACAATTAGTCAAACAGTGCCCATCCTACATACAATTTGGGGATGTTTGCAAATCCAGAATGTGCACAAATCTACTTTAAAAGAAATAAGGAATCAGGCCTTTCATATACTACAAAAAACAAGCTCTGAGATTTGGATACAACATAGTGATCCTATAGTCCTATCAGGCTCATTAAAAACAGACTTATCTAAAGGAAGAAAGATGATATAGTATAGTGGATGGAGAGCCAGACACAGAAAGTTAAAAGAGAAAAAACCTTAGCAGCAAGTTTCCCAGATAAAGGTTGTATATCCAAGTAATATAAGGAAATTATTAAAGTAGATAAGAATAAGTAAAAGCCATTCCCCAACAGATAAGTGGTTAAAGAAACAGAAAGTTCTCAATGAAAAAAATCTAAGCTACCTAGATCCATGTTAAAAAAAAAAAAAGCTCTAAATCACTATTTTTGTTCAGTTGGACTCTGTGACCCCATTTGGGGCTTTCTTGGCAGAGATATTAGAGTGGCTTGCTATTACCTTCTCCAGCTCATTTTACAGATGAGGAACTGAAGTAAACAGGGTTAAGTGACTTGCCCAGAGTCACACATCTAGTTAGTGTATGAGGCCAAATTTGAACTCACCAAGATGAGTCTTCCTGACTCCAGGCCCAGTGTTCTATCTACTGCACCACTTAGCTGCCCCCCCCCAAAAATCACCATACAGAAACGCAAATTAAAGCAACTCTGAGGTAGCACCTTCCAGACTTGCAAAAGATGGTGGAAAAAAGGGAAAATACAAATGCTAGAAGGGTTGCAAGAAAACAAGCACGATAATGCTCTGCTGGTGGAGCTGTGAACTGCTCCAGCTGTTCTGGAAAGCAATTTGGAACTGTCCCCAAAGTGACTAAATTGAGCACACCTTTTGACTCTATGACACCACTGCTAGGTCTATACACAAAGAGAAATACAGAAAGAGAAAAAGGATCCATATGTATAAAAATATTTACAGCAGCTCTTTTTGCAATGGCAAATAGCTAGAAAATAAGGAGATACCCATCAACTGGGGAATGGCTGAACAAACACTATCATGCTATAAGAAATAACAAAAAGGAATGATTTCTGAAAAACCTGGGAAGACTTATCTGAACTGATGCAGAATGAAGTTACCAAAACCAGAAGAATAATGTATACAATAGTATAAAGATTATGAAAGTCTTAAGAACTCTGCTCAACGCAGATGCTAGAGGACTGATGAGAAAATATGCTCTATACCTCCCAAAAGAGAGATGATGAATTCACAATGCAGAATAAGATATACATTTTGGACACAGACAACCCAGCCCTTTGTCTTAACTTGACTATGGCTATTTATTACATGGATTTTTCTTTTTTAAATGGGGCACAGTGGGAAGGAGGGAAAAATCAATTGCTGTTAACTGAAAAATTGAATTAAATTTTTAAAAAAGAAAGCCAACCTCAAAGTCAGTAAGACCTGGGTTCAAGTACTGCCTCTTACACATACTGGCTGCATGACCCTGGGCAAGTCACTTGATTTTTCAGTGTTTCAGGCAACTGTAAGTAAATTCCAGAGAAGATACTTCCCTGCACTAGTAGAAGAAGCATCCTCAACTGGGAAGTTCTCTATATTAATTAAGTTACAGGGATAGTCCCTATCCCTATTACATAGTAATTTAGACTAAAAGGACGACCACCCATCATCTGACCCTTTTTAGCCACAGCAGCTCACTGAACCATATAGAGGCAATAATCTACATTTTTTTTATCCACTTGGATACTGACAAAGAAACATACCTGTGGATTTTCCAAGCGTTTTAAATACTCTTCAAATGACCCCTCTATGAACTGGAAAGAAACACAAAAATATTGATTAGCAATATTATTTAAAAATTACCTCAAAAATATTACTTCACTGGTACAATAATGCTTACTTTCATTAATTCAATGAAACATATACCAAGTATCCCCCCCCAAGCACCTATCACCATATTAGGAGCTATAGGGTAATAAAATTATAATTCAGGCTCACAAGGAGATTACAATCTAATTGAGGAGATAAAACATAGACATGCAACAGTTAGTGCACAGGACAATATATAGTAAGGTGCTACAGAGTAAGGTCTGAATTACTTGGAGAGACCTCCCTTGTCTAGGGAACCAGAATTACAACAAAAGGACCAGGAAAACAATATGTGCATCAAGCATTGTCACTTTGATCTTCAACAAAATATTCTGTATGACTCATAAGCAAACAACCTCTACAGGCTACATAAGCATAGCATAGATATTATGTACTATCTTTCAAACACAGATGTGATTAATAAATTCATGCAAGGTAAATCTGAATTCAGGGTAGCTATTTCTTTTATTTTCTTTTAAAAAGCTCAAGATTTATTATTGTCTTTACATCATAGTCACTTCTCACCCGGCACTCTAGAAATCAACCCTCTCGTGTAACAAAGAAAATCTATTTAACATAATAAGCTACTAAAGCTTAAATTTTAAGCTATTAAAAATTAACTGCACTAAGACTTGTACACCATGTTACACAAAAGAATGTGTCCTAGTATGCCTCTCCACCTCTCTCTGCCATAAGGAAGAAATTTTGTTAATTATGTTTTTTATCATTGTTCTATGGGATCTTCACTGATTTTTCCATTTCTCAGAATCCAACTTCCTTTCAAGTGATCTTTATCATAGTCATTGTGTATATTATTTTCTTGACTGATCTTATGTTATTTTGCATCAGTTTTTGATTCCTCCCATATTTCCTGAATTCCTATAATTTTTTTTTTTACTATACAGTAACATCCAATTGCATTCATATACCACAATATTCTGATAAGACAGCACACACCCACTTTTGTTTCCTAAGCTTTGTGACCACAAAGAATAGTGCTATGAGTATCATATTTGTTTCTGTCCAACTTCTTAGAGTATATGCCCAGTAGAAGAAATGCTAGGTATAAACAGCTAAATTTTCCTACATAATTGCAGATTGAAAACGGGAAAGGTCTGATCCCTTTACAGCTCCACCAACAATGCTTTAGTATGCTTGTGTTTCCATAACCATTCCAACATCCATTTCTTCCCATCTTTTGTCAACTTGGCAATTTGAAGGGTGAGGTAAATATCAAAGTATTTATTTCTTATGATTACTTATTCACATCACATTTTCATGTTGGCACTTATAATTTCAATTAAAAACAAACAATTTCCATATTTTGACACTTTATCATGTTATATATGTCAATTCCCCATATATTTTGGATGAGACTTATGTGTGATATTTTGATGTTTCTCTTTCTTTCCATGATTTCATTCACACAAGTTTTGTTGCCGCTGTTTTTAATTTTATGGTCAAAATTGTCAATTTTACATTTTGTTTTCCTCTATCCCTAGCGAGATTAGAAATTCCCCTCCACCCCCCAGGAATATCTATTAAAGACAACTGATATAACCTCTAACTTTTAAAGGCTTTTTACCAAGTATTTTCTTACTTAACAAGACACTAAGTGTGTTCTCATGCAATTTAACTTAACATTAAAAGGGATCTTTTTTTCCACCTTTCTTCCACAGAGAGCCAAGACATGGCAGAACTGTGATGCTGGGGTAGGGACCATAGTAAGTGCCTTGAGGCAAGGCACAAAGGAGCCCCATGATCTCAAACATATGGCAATCCTAGAAGACAACCTCTAGCCAGCAGCTGACAGGGAAGTGGTGGAGCATCAAGAACTCCTGCAGAGATGGTTCTTGTCTGGCATGTCAGAAAGAGGAACTACACAGTTCAAAGAGTTCTAGCACAGATCCTTCACATGGTACCTCAAAGCTGTACAAACAGAAGGGATCAAAAGCCACACTACTGGGCAGAAGGGCCTTTGATTGTGTACTCTACTATTACTGTACAGGTAGAATGGAATAGGGGTTGCCTAGAATCCTTATTTCCCTTGTGGGGAAGCCAAAGTTTGCATGGCAATACCTAAGGCAGAATGTTCAGGTGCTGCCTATTTAATACCTTGCTTATTTCTCTTCCAAAGAGACTCTAAACTACAGGGTAAAGGTAGGAGCCTGGGCGACCAGGTGGGATTCATGGGAATATCACTAACATAATCCATTCTATCAAGCAGGCCCCATAACAACTAGACCAGCACTTCTTCAACCGTGGAGCTTGACCCCATATGGGGTTGCATAACTGAATGTGGGGATCATTAAAAATGTGGCCACAGTAAAAGGTTTCTGAACACTCAATGACCAAAAACTTAATTCAAAATCAAACGTGTAACGAATCTGAGGTGCTTCTGGCAGCACCTGCCCATGTTGCAACATGCAACTTCACTGTAGCCTTGGTTCCGAACACACAACATGCACACTTTGCACGATGCCTGCCGTCACGCAACGCCAATGAACGCTGCCAGAAACACCTTGGCTCACATTTGAGACTACTGTATGTTATAAATTGCTGTGTTTTTATATACATACAAAATCGTTTAATGAATTCTGGCTTGTGATTAGGACAGAATTTCCAACAATTTCTGAAATGGCCCTAAACATACTTGTGCCATTTTGTACTACATATTTATGCAAAGTGGTGTTCTCAGCATTGATGATTATAAAAATCAAAATATCGACCAACTGAAAAATGTTGAGGATGCTCTACATCCTGTAGTATCAAATATTCTGCCAAGATTTAATTTTTTATGTAAAAATAAACAAGCACATCAGTCATATTAGCATGCAAACTTGCTTTCATCTTTAATAAATGGCAAAATTATATTATGTATACCAAAGAATTGTTTTAAAATAAATTTCTTTATGATTTATTGTCAGTAAATGTTTGATTTGTATGCCTATTTTATATACCTATATGCCCAGTGTCGCGTAAAAATTTCTCAGGCGAAAAGGGGTAAAGCGAGTGGAAAAAGTTTAAGAAGCCCTCAACTAGACCATATTTCACAATCCAGTCACCCACCCCAGTCATCTTCTTGAGGTCTGTCCCCCTTACTCTACCCACTCACACAATGGCTCTTCTTACCCTAGAAACTCTATTATAATTAAATCAATACTACTACTACTTTTGGAAAGGGCTCATCAATCAATCCTCCTATGGCTCTACTCACTTATCCTTTTAACTTCAGACCAAAATGCTGTTCCCGAGCTACCAGTTCCAATATATTCTCTCCCCCTACTAGGTTCTATGTTCTTAAGGGCAAAAACTGTCTCACTTTTGTATTTGTATCCCCAACATATTAGTTAATACTGAAGTGTTTTTCATTCATTCAAGGGCTTCCCCCCAAGCAATTCCTAGTTCAGTTCAGTTCCCCTAAGTTGAAATTATAGAGAGGTACTATAAGTTATGAAAACTTAGGTACCTTGTGGAAAGTGTGACTCATCAGAGGAAGAACTGTGTTGTTTATGGACTACTATAAAGTCCTTTTGTGTTCTACTGCATTATGTGTTCCTGTGAGCCCTTTCAGTTCTTTTACATTTTTTTTTTTTGGTGGAATGGTAAAATGGCCATACTGTGCCAAGGGAAGGGAGGGGGCATGGGGAGAGAGAAGGGTAAGACACTCCTACAGTGCTTAGCACAGTGCCTGCTATATCGCTGGCACTAATACTGGAAAAGAAATTAGGATTATTGGATCATAGATCTACAAAAGGGGAAACTGACTGCTAGGGCAGTTAAGGGAATTGCTCCAAGTCGCACACATAGAAAGCCTCTTACTCCAGAGTGAGTGTTCTTTTCATTGTGCAGTGATAGTCCTTAATTAGAAAAAAAAGAACCCACCCAATATAGGCTAAAATCATCAGAAAAGCTTCACCAAAGAAGAGGATTTGAGCTTTCCTTTGAAGGATAAGTGGAGTAGACTGGTATGGAGAAATAAGTATTGTAATCCAGATACAAGAAAAACGAGACTAAAGGCTGAAAGGAAATATGTGATTATGATTACGGAACAATGAGGAAATTGAACTGGCTCTCTAAGATAGTGAACCTGTTATGGAGTAGTTTGAAATTAGTTTGGAAAGGGACAAGACTAGATGACTCCTAACATCCCTCGTAATTCTAAATCAATGATTTCTAATACTAATGATGGCCTCCAGAGGTAAAAATGTCTGTGTCATGTTTAGTGACAAGTGAAGGCCATATGTTAGAAACATCAATCTGGTAACGATACAGGATAAACCAGAAGAGAGACTGAAAGCAACATATGACACTTTGCACTCTGTTCAGTTTTTGAGGACCAAAACTGGTATTCATTCAAAGGCAGATTAAAAGGAATGGTGAATGAACTGGAGATCTTCTGAAGGAACCAGGGTCGTTTAGACTAGTGGGCAGAGGAGACACGATAGTTGTGTGATGGACTGTCAATGAATGACGGATTAGACTTGGTCTTCCTTCGAATCAAAGCAATGGGTATTAAAGTGTAAAAGCATATTTAGGCTTGACATTAAGTAAGAACTTCCTCATCGTCATGCCTGTCCAAAAGTAAAATGGTCTGTCTCAGAAGCCAGTGAATCTCCCGTCACCAGAGGTCTTCAGAGACAGTATGACTTGTCAAGATGTTGTAGATGGGCATAATTGTTCATCGCCATTGGGCTAGGACAACCTTTGATGTTGCCTCGTACTCCATGATGGGTGAGTGTGCATTAATATAGGTATGAGGTGATAACTTTGTGTCAGTAGAACAAAAAAGGAAGGAATCAATCTAAGATGTTTAAAAAAGAAGCACTTTCAATTTTTACAAACAGCACAACTCAATAGCTACCTTGATATATCAATTGGGATCAGAAGCTATTTATACTATATGATTATAATATAATTTCCTATGTTTACACTATTTTTTCAAGAGTAAAATTTGTTACTTTAGTTGAAGGAAGGAAGCCAATTAAATATTCTAAAGTGACAAATTATTCAGTTCTAGTTAAGATTACAAAAGCACTTAATCACTAAAAAAACACATAAATATTAAGATGCAATTTAACATTAAATTTTTGTTAGCAACTGTGGATCATTTTTAAAAATAAGACTAAGTCTCATATATCATTTTATACCACCCTACTTTTCCAAATTGTCTTGTTGGAACTTAAATTGTTACATTATTCAAATGGGCATTATATTTAGTTGCCATGTTAACTGTGTCCATTGTGTACCCATTATATTTCTTCCTGAATGACAATAAAAATAACTAATATTTACTGAGTACTCTAAGGTTTGCAAAGCACTTAACATGTATTATCTCATTTGACCCTTTAACTCTGTGAGGCAGATAGTATTATAATTCTTCCCATTTTGCTCAGAGGAGCCTAGAGGTGATGTGTGGGATTACGTGGCTAAGAAGTGTCTGAAGCAGAAGGTGAACTCTGCTCTCTCTGAATTGAAGTCCAGCCCTCAATCCACCATATTAAATGGCCTCCTATCAGTGCTGTGCACACATTATAATCCCCATCAGAATATAAGCTCCTTGAAGGCACTGGTTGTTTTGCCTTTGAATTCTTAGTGTGTAGTATATGGTACCTGGAACAAAGTAAGCCCTTAAAAGTTTTGTGATTGAAAGATGGCATTACCTAAACTCAGAAACTGGTATTTTTCACCTTTTAAGTTATAGAACTGAGATATACAAAAAGGTGTCTTTTTCCTAAAACCATTTCAAAGTCAAGAAGAAATACCAAGATAAAATTGTCAGATGACATGTTCATAAGTTGTCAAATCATTCATTTTCAACCCTAATTCTCTAAACTCTAATAAAAATAGATCATCACTAACATTACTTTGACTTACCACATACTACTAACACAGCTAAATTAAATAGCTATGATTTTGATAAGCAGTACTGCCTATTATCAGCACTTAACACATATGGTACGTAGAAATGATTTTTGTAAGGATGAACCCTGAGAAAAGATCTCTTAAATGCTTTTGATTAAATTTTACTTACCATTGTTTTAGGGTTCATGAAGTTGGTTTTTTTTTAACGTATCATTCTACGAAAATTTGTAACCCATATTCAAATTAATAATCCACAGAAATCTGTTAAGCAGCTCATGCCCTCACAACGATATGTAACAAAGTTTATATTCTTAAGGTCTGTGTCATATTCATCCTTGTATATATATGTTCCTTGCACACAGTAGGCATTCAACAATATCTGATAATATTTGGAGATAATCTACAAAATTCTTTAAAAATATCACCATTGCATTCATAAAAATCAGTGGTAGCTGGGTGACACCGTGGATAAATTGCCAGCTCCGGAGTCAGAAGGACCTCAGTTCAAATCTGATCTCAGATATTTATTATCTGTGTGACGTGACGCTGGGCAAGTCACTTTAACCTGTTTGCTTTAGTTTCCTCATCTGTAAAATGAGCTGGAGAAGGAAATGGCAGACCACTTCACTATCTTTGCCAAGAAAATCTCAAATGGGAATCAACTAAACAATAAATTCATAAAAATTCAACCAATGATACACTTGATTCCTTCCATGTAAGTGTTTTTATGGGATTTTTGGAAAACCCTAGACCATGACTGGGACCTAAAAAGTCAACACAGGAAAAAGAATTTTCACGTTTGATATAAATTACCGCTTCAAATTTCTCTCTGTTTTCTCGAAGATAGTGTATACAGGCCATCCTGACTTCTACATGCCGAGATTGAGAATGCAACACCTAAAAAAGAAAAAACATATACTCTTGAGATATTTTTTCAAAAGAATACACATGTGAGTTAAAAACTATCTTCCCCATTTCCAAAGCTTCAACCTGTTCCGCAGAAATGGCAACGTGACAACCAGTCTCCTTTTCCTTTTTTTCCCCCAATTCCTTCTTCTAAGATTAATAGCAATGGTTATGTCTCACAAGATCCATATTCTCTCTTCCTTTTATATTTTACTACTACTGAAAATAAAATCTTAGGAGTAGACAAAAGCTTTTATGACATAATACAGCTTCTAAGAGCAGTTCCAGTTTTTAAAAACTTATATTTTACCAAACTTCTTTAACAAAGAGTCATACAGGACTCAGGATTTCATTAGCACTCCACAAACTACCACATCAATAGAGAGCATGCAACTAGCTCTCTGTATGAACTTGAGACAAATTACTCCATCTCTCTGGGACTTGATTTTTTAGATGTATAAAATTAATGAGATGTATTAGTGTCTTTCAGCTTAAAATTTTATGAAGTTTTCAATGTCCCTGTACTAAGAGGACACTTTGCTTCTCTACACCAACTCCTTAATTTTAAAAAAAAAAGCAACACAAAATAGCATTCCACAATTGCACAATACTTGATTCCGTCCTAATTTTGCTGAGGGGGATGAGGAATGCATGACAACATGAATATGATTCTCCTGTGATTTTTTTTAAGTAAAATTTAGTATTTTCTTTTCCATTGTTATTCTGAAACTTTTTAGAGCCTGTAGATAAAAATATGTCTGTGATTTTAAAATTTAAGGGCACTCATTCCTCAAATTCATTGCTTTAAGACTTTAAAAAAGGAGTTTAAGGAACATTCAAGGAAGTATTTAAAAGTACAAATATCCTATTTATCATTATCTTTGAAGACTGTCCCAGGCTGTTTTTATCTCCCAAGTCTTAAAGCTGTTACTTAAAATAAGCCACACTTAAGATTCAGGGTCTTAAAATGTCTTACCCAGCCCCTCAAATGATAAAAGTTCAAGTTCATGTTACACATATATACACATAAATATATATATAAATATGCATGTATTTCTATATCTTGACTTTGATCTGAAACACGAAAGCTTTTTGTAAAAAATTCTTAAAATTTCTAATTTCACTGAATACAACTATAGTTGAGAAAACTCACTTCCCCCTCCTTTCACTGCCAAGATGGAGAACGATTAAGTTTTGCTGAATTGCTTTTCTTTTGTAACCTTTGTTGAAAAGGGTAGCTTACTTAGGTATGGGGAGAAGAAAGGGACATACACAGAAGCAAATTTAAAAAATAAAGGACATCAATGTTTTTTTTTAAAAAAATTCCTATTTTTCTAACTCTTCAAAGGAAGCATTAGCCTATTAACATGCTAAAACTAGAAAGCTCAGATTCTCAAATATAGCAGTCCATGGGTTCAAAGTAAAGAATATTAAAAATAAATATTCTCTATTACTTTAAGCTTAAGCAAAAACTCTAAAGTACAGTTAGAAGAGTCTATCCCAAGTTTTTATCAGGTCATAACTAAGCATGCTTCCATACCCAATAGTGAGCAAAACTATGTAAACCTCTGGAAATATATTCATGTACAACCCAATTCTAGGCAACTGATACCTTAAGACATGGACTGTAACTTGAAGGTAGCATTTTTAAAAGCATACTAGTCGATTTGTTCCTAACTTGACTGATCTTCACACCTATTTTAGAACCTGGCTACCACTGAAGTACTATCTTTATATTTCAATAAGGTTTGCTGACTTTATGAAACTATCAATTTGGTAACTCCATCATCGATTCCTCATTCCTAATCCCAGATACTAAAGACCAAAAACATTATCATAAGCTCCTTCACAGCAACCATATCACCATTAAGCAAAGGTATTATTAGTTTTCTTTAACACTGTAGTTTGTCACCCGATACGGCTTCACGTAGTTAGCAAACTAAGGCTAGTCAGAGCCATTTACCTAACAACAGTTGACAGGCTACGAATACAGCTTACTTTAAGTCAAAAAACAATATATTTTTTATCTTTTTTCATTTCAACAACAAAAAAGAACCAGGGAATTTTGTACTTTTGAGCAATGAGTTCAATATTCAGCAATTTCTAAAAAGTCCTGGAACACTAGAAATGAAATTAAATGTTGGAAAGGAGAAATGACTTTTTTTCTAAAGTAAATTATGACTAAGTACAGAGGAGTAATTCTGATAATTTAACTTGTACAGAACTATGCAAGTAGATATATCAATGTACATGGTGTGAAGAACAACTTAGGAGACTCCTCCAAAACCATACTTTGTGTCAACACATTGTTTGACAGTGGGAAAAGACTTAGAAATGCTACTTCAGCAAGTAATCTAGGGAGCATCCTATTTTTATTTCCATGACCTAGGTTCAGGTCAGTCCCCTGGGGAGTAGGGTACACCTAATGGTGGAGGAGGGCACCCAGCTCTCCCAGTTGTTGAGAGGATTAAAATTAAATATTTGTGAAGTGCTTCTGCAAACCTTAAAGAGCTATACAGTAGCTATTATTATTGCACATTACAAAAAGCAAAAGGTCTTTGTTTAGGTATACCTAGAGACAAAGTATTATATTCCTGCACATGCTCCCTTCTTGCTTCCATACTTCAACCTGCTGCCGCCACTCCCTCAGTTTAAGCAGGGATGGGGAATCTTCGCCCTGGAAGCCATATGTGGCCCTCTAGGTCCTAAAGTGCAGCCCTTTGACTGAATCGAAACTTCACAGAACAAATCTCCTTAATAGAAGCATTTGTTCTGTAAAATTTGGACTCAGTCAAAAGGCCACATACGAGGTCCTACAGGGCCACATGCAGGTTCCCAATCCCTAGTTTAAGGTATTTAGAAACACTACCCCAGGAGTTAAAAACATTTTAAGGCAACTAAAGGCTAAGAATAAATTCTTACACGTATTTTTTTTTAAATACCAAGCCCTGGGACCAGTGCCACATTCCACTCCCATATGTTCCCAAAGCACATTTTTGCCATTACCTATAGGTAATGGCCTGTCATTGGCCTAAATCAGTAAAATTGGGACTTCACTATGATTTGGGACTTTTAAGACTCTCTTTTTCTCTTAGTAAAAAAACAAAACAAAAGAAAACACCACCAGACACTTGAGAGGAGGCTTCTGGATTACTAATTTAAATCTCAATTTAGAGCTCCCCCCTTTTTCAATAAAAAATAATCAACATATAATGGGACTCATTATTACTTTGTTTTTTTAAATAATTTATTTTTAGTTTTCAACATTCACTTCCATAAGATTTTGAGTTTTAAATTTTCTCCCCTTACTCCTTCCCCCTCCCCAAGATGGCACGTAATCTGATATAGGCTCTACTTATGCATTCATATTAAGCATATTTTCACATTAGTTATGATATATAGCAGAATTAGCACTAATGGGAGGAACGAGAGAGAAATAAAACAAAACAACAAAAGAAAATGAGAGTAAGTAGTATGTTTCCATCTGCATTCAGACTCCATGGTGGAATCATTATTACTTTGAAGGCCAACCTAAAACTATACTACAAAAGCTGGGATAAGTCAAGGTTACTATCTACACGTCTGTAACATCACATGCTTATCATACTAAAATAAAATGCTTCTGTCTGCATACATATAGGTAAAGCCTGGATAATTAACAATCAAACTCCCAAGCCTCACTTGCAGTCAATTCGTTTCAAACTCCTTTACCCCACCAATCTTTTTGTCAGAGCTGGGAACAGACACAAAAATAACTTCATTTCACCTTTTCCTGCTTCTGGAGATATTAAACAGTTCTTAGGCTGAAAGTAGATACCCAAAGGATCTGGAAAATTAAAGCTGTATAATCACCTCACGAAGAGCTAACTAAGTGTGTGGTCTGCATATATGTATACATACTTAACAGCACTACCCGAAATAAATCTAAATTGCTTAAGATAAAGACCTGCAACAGAGGCAAAACAGTTTCAGGAAAGCACCTTCTCATTTCCTGAACAAGTCAAAGCTTGATTTGTCCTGTTGAACTTCAGGACGAAGTGCAAAGGGTTAATAATGCCTCTGACCATGAAAAACGTTTTTGAGTTAGTGTCCTTATAAAATGATAAATTTTGATTTTATGCTACAGATCCAAAATAATGACATGGACTTTGAAATACAGAATGCCTAACAGAAAAGGGAGGGCAGCACCTACCAGGAAGGAATATTCTATCTGGTTTCAGATGTGGTAGTGATATTGGATGCTTTTGCTTAATTGTCTATCTTTGTTACAAGGGAGGATTTCAGAGGAGAGATTGAAGTGACTGATGTATACACAAAAGGCACCAAAAATATATTAAGAAAAATTATGAAAGAAAAACAGAATGCCTACCAAAAATTGATACTATTAGAACATAAAATATTCAGGTTTCATATGAAGGACCATGATTTAGGGAGCAAAGAAATTGGTAAAGGCAAAGGGGAGGAATTCTCAAGTCTCACTGGACAAAATCTTTAATTCAAGATGGAGAATTGACCAAGCCTACTATGAAATTGTAATAATAAAGCCAGGATGGGGAAGTACTATTTTAGTAGCTACTGTTCAATAAGATGCAATTTTTATTGCATTTCTGAAAATGTGTTTATACTATACAGAAATCACCCTCTTAAGACTCAAAACAAACAAACAACCCACTCATTAAACAAACTGGCAGAAAACGGTTTAACACATAGGAAACTTGGTTGAAACTATTTCTAAGAAGTCCCATCCTATACCAATGGTAGAATAGTTAGAGGAGTGATTAGGATGTGAAAACTCCTTCTTTTTCCTGGAATATATGGTCTAACTGTAATTTTGTTAATAAGTTTAAAGTCTTTATTTATTAGATATCTCTTATCTATGGGCACTCTGGAATGTTGTACTTACTCCTCTCCTACTGACTTCCCTGTCTTGCCAAGTCACAACTAAAATCCCACCTCCTACAGGAGTCTTACCCAACCTCTCCTAATTCCAGTGCCTTCCTTCTTATAATTATTTCCTACTTATAAATATATGTATGTATATATAGGTGATTATTCCCTATTTATAGATATTATAGCTATAGTTCCTATATATCTTTTATAGATCCTATTTATATATTTTCTACATCTAAATATATAAATTATATTTCCTACATAGCATATAAAGATATAATTACATTTCCTATATATTCTGTGTATGTGTATATACACACCTATGCATAGATTGTTTTGTATAGATTTGTTTGCATATAGTCTGCCTCACTTAGATTTTAAGCTCCTTGAGGGCAGGAATTCTCTTTTGCCTGTTTTTATATCGGTGCCTGGCACACAGTAGGTGCTTAAAAAAAACGTTTACAGATTGAGAGCAGCGGCTTTATAAATCCTCGCAGACTGAACTTAGTTCAGCCTTGGTTTCACTTTTCATTCTTCCTCTTCACAACAGCCAGGGTGTATAATACCATTCTCCCAGGTTCTACCTAACTTTCATTAGCATAGGTACTGACTCCCAGAGAGGCAACTCCCTCTACCGATGCCTATCAGACCACAACTTACTTGCAATCTCAAGTCTTAGAAGGGGTTGCCCGAGACACAAAACCCAGGGTCACACAACCCAGTTTGCTCAAATGTCTGCAAAACTCGAACCCAGGTCTTCTGGATCCCTACATAATAAGCCAAGAAATGCGCTCTCGCTTAAGCTGCCTGTCTCGCACGTTTCTCCGAATTCCTCAAATTAATCGTTTCTTCCTCACCCTTCAACCAATTAACCAGTTATATCCATATACGCCACAATTGGGTGACCTATCCCCCCACCGATGGGTCACCTTACTTTTCCCGGGTTTGGGGGGCTACTAATATTTGGGTGCCGGGGGGAGGGGGTCTCCTTAGGCCTCAGCTGCCCAGCCTGTAAACCACAGGTGCTTAATCAATGCTGGTTGGTTAAAGAGCCTCCCAAGTTTTGCAGAGGCAGCCCCGGCCCGCAAGGCGTGCCCGGTCCGACCGCACACGGGGCTATTCAACAGGTACAAGCCGGCAGCAGAGAGGCAGGCAGGCAGGCGGGCGGGCGGATCACGCTCGTAAATGCCGGCCACCAGCCTAAGGCCAGCCCGGGGAAGGCCGATCATGGAGACCACGAGGGGGCCGGAGGGGAGGGGGAGGCAACGTGCTCGGCAAGGCTCGGGCCTCCCGGTGCCCGGCACGCGGCGCTGCGAGACCCCCACTCCGCCGCGGGTGGTGTAAATTCCATGGACACAATGGGGGCCGGCTGTGACGACACAAGGGGCCAGCACACGTAGAACGCGGAGCTCGCTGCCCGGGCCCGGCCAAGCCCACCTGCAGGGGCCGCTCCCGGCCCGGGCCCTCCCCACGCCCCGGGGTCCTCACCTGCTCCGCCACGGCCCTGAACAGGCACGAGCCGTCCTTGGCGATGAGTTTCCGGCACAAGCCCAGGCTGCGCAGATAAGCGTCCATGGGCGTAGCGTCCCCCGAGCCGCGGCCCCCGGCCCCGGCGCCAGCGGGCTCTCCGCCCTCCGGGAGACTAACGGCAGCCTCCATGTTGGCCCGTCCGCGCTGCAGAAGCCGGCCCGGGGCTAGCCCCACATGGCCGCAGCGGCGGCGGGAGGAGGAGGAGGAAGAGGAGGAGGAGCAGGGACGGGGCCGCGGCGGAGCGGGAGCAGCAGCGGGAGCTGGGGAGGCGGCGGCGGCGGTGCACGGGCGAGGCGTCCCTCGCCTAGTCCATGCCCGCCCCTCCCTCCCTCCCTCTCTCCGCACGAGGCCGGGCTCCTTAGCTCTCGAGAGAAGGCGCTGGGGCAGCCCGGAGGACGGAGCGCTGGGCCCGGGGCCAGCCCCTGCTCCCTCGCGCCGGCTGGCTGGGGAGACAGATCCCGAAGGGCTCCCGACTCCGCCTCGCCGCTCCAGCCGAGCTGCAAAAAAGACAGAGGCAGGAAAACCCCTCCCACCCCCACCCGGAGGACACAGGGCCCGCCCAGGCGCCCGTCCAGCCGCGGGGAAAACAAAACTGAGAGAAACCCGAGCGAGAGCGAGAGCGAGAGCGAGGTGCCGCCGAGCCCCCGATTTATTTTCGCTTTCAGCCTCGGCGCCGAAAGGACGGCGGGAGCTGTAGTCCGGCCGAAGCAGGAAGTCGAGGGGAGGGGGAAGGGTGGGCGGGAGCGGAGAATGGATCTTGTAGTCTCCCCTCCCACCCCAGACGCGACTCCCGCCGGGAGGGGGAGGGGAGGGGGTGGGGCTGGAGTCGGAGCTGGAGTTAGAGGGGAGACGACGCGCAGTGCAGAGACTACAAGTCCCAACAGTCCCTGCGCCACGACGCGGCCATAGTTTGGCTCCTTTGCCAAGGCGAGGTGTTAGCTAGGGTAAGGATGCGGGAGGGGAGGGATTCCCTCCGCGGCTGAGGACCTCCATCATCGCTGCTCTCTTTTCTAAATTCCTAGTCCTTTTTTTTTTTTTTTTGTAAACTCTCTCGGCTTGGCACGTGCCCGGCGCGCATGGAAGTGCCTAGCGGATTCTGGATGGGGGCGGGCGATGTTTGGCCTTTGTGCAATTCGAACCCAGAAGGAGGAAGCCGGCGCTAATGGAGGTTTCCGTGGGCGGGTTGGAAAAATGCAGCGAGCCAATGAAGGTTTAGCTTTGAAAGGCGTCTCAGCGACCTTTGGGTCCCTGGTTTTAAAGCAGGAATGAGTTCCATTTTGTAGATTAGGAAAACCGAGGCCCAGGCACGGTCAGATCACAAATCGAGAGCTGGAAAGGGCCTCAGAGTCAAACTACTCCTTTACCCCGATGGAGTAAAGTGAGATGCAGAGAGATATTGACTTATCAGAATTAAAATCAGATGAATATTAAGTGTCATAACTGGGACTAGAACTCGGGCTAATGAAGTGGAAACCAGGGCTGTCTCTTCAGTGCTCGAATTCTCAGAACGAGCACTGACCGACAGTGACTTGACCATTCTGCCCCTCATCTTGTCTAAGGTCCTAGAAAGGACCCAAGAGGTCATCCTATCTGACCTCTTCTTTTTGCAGGTGAGGCAAGCTGAGGCTCAGAACACACCAGTAATGAGTGGCAGAGCCATAGCACCCAAACTGCCATTCTTACTACACTCCCATTCATCTGCCACCATTGGCTTTTAAAAATGTCCATGCCCTTCCATAGAACACAACCCGACCCAACCAATTCGTCTGGGTTTATAAAGCAGGGATAAGTGCCTAACTGTAGAGCTTAAGTTCCTTGAGATCAGGAATTGTTTTGGTTTTGGGGTTTTTTTTTCCTTATTTGTATGCACATTGCTTAGCACAGTGCCTGGCACATAGTAGGTGCTTAATAAAAGTTTAATGAATCGAACTGCCGACTCTCCCAGAAAAGGCAGCTAGTACCCTAGAGCCCTTTCTCCAAGTTACTCGAGTATTTCTAGAAATGCTTGGATAAAGGGGTACTGCAATTGCCCAATTTTGCTTAAAGACTCCAAATTTAAACTCACACCACTATGATGCCAGGATTTTTTGAGCTACCAGAATTCATTCTGCTTTCTAGGTTCCAGTTTACTGACTGGATCGTACTGGCAAAGTGACATGAGCATGCTTGTTAGGGTGGCCTTGAGCGAGTCACTGGAGCTCTTCTGGACTTCTTTTTCTCATTGGTAAAACTAAGGCACTAGAGCGGGTCATCTCTAAGGTTCCTTCCAGTTAAAAATGCAAAGGAGCCTTTTGCTTCTTAATCCACATGGTTTTTACTGGCATAGATTAATAGTTCAGCCTCAAGTATTTTTTTTAAATGGATTTATTATAGTATAGGGGAAAGAAATAAAAAAAAAAGTTGTTCTAAAGGTGCAGACATATTGAAACTTCACCAATATTGAATAACACAGGAAACATTACGAATTACTGTAAACTTTGTAAAAGGGACAGCTAGGTAGTGAAGTGGATAGAGCACCAGGCCTGGAATCAGGAAAACTCTTCTTCCTGAGTTCAAAACCAGCTTTAGATGCTTACTAGTAGTGAGACCCTGGGCAAGTCACTTCATCCTGTTTGCCTCAGTTTCCTTATCTGTGAAATGAGCTGAAGAAGGAAATGATGTTCCACTCCAGTATCATTTCCAAGAAAACCCCAACTGGGGTCATGGAGAGTTCACAACTGAAAAAAGACTGAACTGAAACTTTGTAAAATGCGTTACTTCAAGTACTTAAATCAACAGGACTAATAGTCATTAGTTCACTTTGCTGGGTTTTTCTGAACTTAATTCGTTGGTAGAAGTCCATCTCAAGGAGTTATGCTGACAATTTGTTTTTAAGGAGTGTTTGGCTTACAGATTTAGAACTGAAAGGTCCTTCACGGACTCATAAACCTGGAGCTACGCTCACCTACAGTTTCCTCATTTCACTAATGAGTAAACATTGAGCACCAACTATGTGCCAGGCACTGGGGATACAAATGAGAAGAGAAAGTGGGGAGAAAAGACAATCCCTGCCCTCAGGAAGCTTAAGTCTATAGTTAGAGCTTATAGTCGTAGCTACTGTCTGTCAAAGGGACCCAGCCAAGCTCTCATCTGTGGGTGGCTGGAGCCAAAGAGAACAGGCTAGAGACGGGAGAATCAGGAATATCAGACAGGTTTAATTTCAAAGGGAGGGAAAGGGCCGTAGAGGGGCCTCGCCCCTAGAGGGGGGAGCATGAAGGAGATCTCAATACTGATACCAAGGGTTGCCCAGTGAGCTGTAGCCCTGGCAACGAGGGGTAACGGCAACAATATGACAAGTGTGATTCATAGCGAGGCTTCATGACCAGAACTTGTCTGGCCTCAGTGAACATCTCCTGCTGGTCAAAGCAATATATTTTGTCTGAGGGTGAGGTCATCCAGAGGGCAAGTGCAAAGGATTGTTGTTACGCCAAGCTCAGGTCACCCAGCCTGCTGGCTGGGCCTTAGCTTAGGAAAACAGAGTGTCTCCTAATATGTTGACACCTCTTTAAGAAAAAATTTACTGGGGGCAGCATAAGCCCAATTGCCTCACCAAAAAAAAAGAAAAAATTTACCAGTGAGGAATTTTACTAATGAGGAGATTGGCCCAGAGTGGTGATGTGATTTGCCCAAGGTCATACAAGCAATCAATAGCAGAGCTGGAATTCGAATCCAAGGCCTCTGGCCCCAGTCCAGCCCCATCCCTTTCCAAGGAACAATACCCCTCCTGCTCCCCCTTCTTTTTCTTCTTCTAGTCTTTCTCCTCTTCCTCCTCCCTCCCCCACCACCACCACACCGGAAATTTGAGTTAACATAGTTGAATGGTATCTTTTCTCTAACGTTTGTGATTTCTTTGCAATAGGCAGCCTGTTTCAAAAATAGTTTCAATCTGAAAAAAAAACTGTGATTTAAATCCATGTTAAGTATTGAAATATCATATAGCTTCTTTAACAATAGTCTTTTCAAGCCCCAGAATTTTTTGGTAAAATGAGTTAATCACAGTTTCTTCCATGACAAACAGTGAGAGGGAAAATGTTTTGAAAAGGAAAGGAAAGTCAATCACTGTTTTAAAAGACTTTTTTTTTAATCACAAAAAAATGTAATGTAGGGACATAAAATAAGACAGTCTAAGGAAGAATGGGAAGGAAGGTTCATTAAGATAACAGCTATAAGTATATTATGGAAAAAAAGATTTTAGTCACTTTAACAGCATTCAATAAAATTCTTCAATTATTTTGTCATTCTTGTGATCCTATAATTAAGTTTAGCTTGGTATTAGAATTCAATTCTGAATATTAATTATGCATAAGGCAGTCACTGTCTAGGCTGTCTAGGTAAAAAAAAAAAAAGGAAAAGAAAAAAGAAAAACAATCCAGTACAGAAAGAACTTCCTTTCTATTGGGAATCTCACATATAAGGTAATATAAGGAGGCACAGAATAGTAACCTCTGGGTGATCTGGAAAGGCTTCTGAGCTGATCCTTTAAGGAAGATGAGGATGCCAAAAAGACCCAAATGTGAGAGTGAATTCAACAGGTTGTACAGAGGTGGAGAACATCACATGCTAAAAAATAATAATAATAATAATAATTTAAAGAATGGGAGGATATATTTCATGCCATGGTAAGGTGATTGAAGTGATTGTAAAAGAGAAAAACAGTTTTGATTACATGGAATAGATGAAATAAGCATTTATAAGCATTTGTATAAGCCTACTATATATCAGGCACCTTATTAAGTATATAATAGAATTACAAATATCTCATTTGGCTCTCCCAACCCTAAGAGGTAGCTGCTGCTGTTATCTCCATTTTGCAGTTGAGGAAACTGAGGCAAACAGGTTAAGTGACTTGCCCAGGGTCACACAGCTAGTTAAGAGTCTGAGGCTGAAGTTCAATCAGGGCTTCTGCCCCCAGGCCCCAGCACTGTGTGCACTATGGCCCCACCTATTTGCCTCTACACAAAAATTTAAAAATCAATGCAAGTAGAGATAGAAGAGAAACAAGTAGGAAAAAACTTTGCATTAAATGCCACTGATAAAAGTTTTAAAGCAAAGATATAAGGGAAGAGAAAAGAACAAGTATTAAGAACCCA